TGTCTCTGTCTCTCTCACAATAAAAATAAATAAATAAGCAAACCTTAAAAACAATTTTTTAAACCCTGTTTTTCTCTGAGAACGAAGGCTATACCGTGGAGCAGAATGCAACTTTCACGTGCATTTCCAAGATGACTCTGTAAAGCTTCAAAGTGATTCTGAACTTGCCCCCAACCCTCTTCCCTTGGCGACGGACCCGGCCGCTTTCTGCTCCGCACAACGGACCCACCTCAAGGTGTCAGCTGAGCTCTGCCATTAGGACAAGTGCAGTCTAAGTGCCGCTAGCTGATGCCTATGAACCGGGTGTCCCCTCTTCCAGGAAGTCTTCCCGGCCATCTCCTTGCCCCCCGGGCAGAGTTAGCAACTTGCCCGGCCTGCACCTGAGTGAGCTCTCCTCTCCAGGCACCCATTCGAGCTACTGGGCTGCACTGTAATCACCTGTTTACTTGTCTCAGGCTCGAGTCCTCCTGGTCGTGAATCCGTCAACATGCTCCTTACTCATTTATAGGGCAATCGTCTGGCTGCAGTCCGAGCGCCACGTGCAAAGGGGGTGAGTCTTGTAAAGTGTCAATCAGTCCGTGGGCATTTTCTAGTTCCTTCTAGGCGCTCCGTGCTGGATTTCTCTCCTCCTCCCATTGGCCCCACCCCTCAGCCTTGCCTCCTGGCGGCCATGGGCCCCCTCACCCTTGGAAGAGGGCTCTGCAGAGTGGCTGAGGGCCCAGACCCCCACTTGTCCCGGACCCTTGTCCGGGAGAGCTGAAGGGCCATCCTCGCTCCTTCCTGGACACCTCACCGTGGCTTCCTGGGCCTGGCTGACATGCCCCCCGCCAACCCTGAACGCCAGGCCCCGGCAATTTCATGGGCAACGAGTCTCAAAGGGCTGTTACAGTGGGTACCGATGAGCCACAGACGGATGCAGATGGGGGGGGGGGGGCTTCCTTCATCTTCCAGAGGAGAAAGCTGACGTGAGGTGGGGGAGGGCCAGGGGACTGGAACCGGGTCTCCGGGGGCCTCCTCAGGTAACCCTGGTTCCCCAGCCCGTGGCCTGGATTCTGGCAGAGTGTGACCGGAGGGCTTAGGGCAGGGCCAGGGCTGGACTCACAGCGGGAGCCGAGACTGCACGGAGCCGGGTTCTGAGCAGGTGCCCCGAGGCTGGGGCCAGAAGACGGTGGCGGGGACGGGGCACAGAGATGCAGCGCGAGGGACAGAGCCTCGCTCCTCCAGACCCCTCCTGCGCCGCCTCCACCTGTGGCCCGAGGTCCTCATCTGAAAGACTGAACAGTGACCCGGGCCTGGGCCTCCTGCCTCAAAGGCCTGTGTGTTGTGTAGACAGCGGTCGTGAAGGTGCTCCGGGAACCGTGAAGCTGGCCCTTCTTGTATGTGGTGCCGTTGCGTCGCTGGATGACCGCTGTCTGCAGGGCCCCGAGGGGTCCCCGTGAGTCCCCAGAAGAATGGCTCTGAGGAGACCCTGGGGGGCTGATTCCATCTCATTCTCCAGCCAGAGCTGTAAGCAGATGGGACCGACTGGACTTACGAGGCGGTGAGTTCCCCGTCACTGGTAGGGTGAATGCGAGGGCCGGCGGTTTCCCTGCCTGGGAGACCATGAAAAGACGCAAGCGTTGGATGCTATTCTGTCCTTTCCAGCCCTGAAAGGCTCTGGTGGTTGCTTTGAAGACTCGTTTCCTTTACTCCAGCTTTCAGCGCCCCCCCCACCACCCCACCCCCAGGCGCACAGGGCTCCCCTCTTCCGGCCCTGCAGAGCTCGGGCGGGGACAGCAGGGGTGGAAGCCGAGAACCTTCTACTTACCTGACGCCTGACAGCTGAGACGTCATCTCCCAGTCCGAGGGTCCTGCAGGCTCAACATGGCCGGGATGGCAAGGATTCCGCATAGTTAGCCGGGGCAGGGCAACTTCAGCTTTCTCTGCTGGCCCCCCACCCTGTCCCCCCCCCCCCCCCCCGTTGAAGCCCGTCTCCTGTTCTCTCCTGCTTGGTGGCAGTCTCTGGAGTCCAAGCTGCGCTGTGATGGAGGGACCTTCATAATTTAACTCTGACCACGTGGCTCGAGGAGGAGGACCAGGGAGTGGGCCCTCATCCAACCCTCTCTTCCCCTTGCACGACCTGAGGGCAGCCAACTCCACTGACCTCAACTTTGGGGGGGCGGTAACCCAAGGACATTCTCCCTCCCCACACTCGGCTCTCTCCTTCTGTTCCCCAGACCCTTCTCCTTCGATCCGGCAACCCAGCCCTCCCCAGAGGGTGGAGGGCCGTGGTCCCATCCCTTCTGGTGCCACGGGCATTGGCGATGGGGAGCCTCCGTCCCCTGACCCCACGAGCGAGGGAGACGGTGAGTGCTTCAGTCCCAGTTCTGTCCCCTCTCCCCGGACAGCTAGGGATGCCACCCAAAAGGAAGACACACCTTGTGTCTCAAGGAGCATCTCAATTTCTCAGCGTTTAACCCTGAGGATGGAGAGGCTGTTTCCTTCGGGACTGTGACTTTGACCGTGACCCTTGCTGGCGAGCTCACGCCTCCATCTAGGACGGATGCAAGCACGTGCCTTACCTCTCAGCCCTGCTGCCCCATAGGTTGTGCTGCGTGCTTGTCAAGATCCTTCGCCAGGATGGGGGAAGGGGGCGACCCAGCCCAGGTCCTGAGTCTGTGACGGGGGCAGTGAAACACGGCCCCCAGTAGCCCAGGCTCTGGGGCTCTTCGGGAGCTGGGTTTGCCTGTGGTTCTGTGGCTTTAAGAAGCTTTGTGACCTTTGGCAAGTTTCTCAGCCTCCTCTGGGTCCCAGCCCACCCGCCACCCCCCTCACCAGGCTGTTGTCAGATGAGACACGGTGGCGGTGGCGGTGGCGGGTCGGCCACACGGCGACCGCTCGGTAAGCCCGGCTCTGTTGCCGGCTGGAATGGAGACCCCAGCCTCTGGCCCTCGGCCCCCTACTCCCCTACACCCCCAGTTCCCTGTCTGGCCCCAGCACACAGGCCCCCTTCCGCTGGTGCCCCCCACCCCCACCCCATTAGAGCCAGATCATAAAATCTCCAGGGGAGGGAGGCTGGTGACATCTTTAGTGGCGACATTTGGGTGAAAAATTCATGACCATCAGTTACTCAAGGAAGAGGGGAAAAATGAGCCATTTCCACGGCTCGGGAACGTGGCTCTCCCCGGCTGTGAGTCCACAAATCTATTTTATGTGACGAGATCTACAGTCTAATAGAAGGAGCTTATCACAGACTTAAGAAAAAGTGCACAATAATGCTCCACTCTTTCCCCACCTCTCGGCCCCGCAAGGCGCCCTTCGGGAAGGTGAGGGCAGTGGCTCTCCAGGAGCCACGGAGAGTTCACCAGCCAGCGGGGTCCCGTGGGGGGACGGCTGGGTGGCCCAGGGTGGGAACCGGTGACCCCCGTGCCCTGCCTGTGTTCTGCACCCCTGGAGGCCACACCCCATCCTCATCACCACGGTGGAGGGGACCCTGGGAAACCCGCCACCTTGTTGTGACAGACACGAGTCAGTCTGTCTGTCTGTCTGTCAGCACAAAGGAGGAATGGAGGTTTCTCTTCTCCTACTGCCTCTCATCCTGGGGGGGGGGGGGGCAGGCCGAGTAAGAGGCAGTCAAGTGGGGTTGCGAATCCTCTCTGAGACCCAACAGCCTTGGTCCCAGGTCCCGGGGGGCCCCGGGGCAGCTCTGAGGGGAAGGGGCTTGGTGGCTACTCTTTGGGGAGCCTTGGTGCGGTGCTGGGGGAGGCTGATGCCCTGAATGCGGCAAAGAGCAGGGCTAGGGATTCCGGGGCCCGACCTGGGGGCCCACATCTGTGGCAGGGGGCAGCCGGGGCCAGCTCCCAGCTCTGGAGGCCCACGGCAACTCCTCATCCAGGACCACCGTGTCCATCTGGCCCCATCGACCAACCTCTAAGACCCCCTCTCCCCGAGACATGGGTGAGCCAGACGGCGGGTCCCCGTGGAGCCTTGCACCGTGTGCCTCACAGATGAAGAGTGAGTGAATGAATGGATGGCTGGGGGCGGGCAGATCCCAGCTTGGTCCCAAGCCTCTTCCCCTGCAATGTTGGGCCACGTCCAGAACTGGAGGGCAGACCGGCCTGGGGTTTGTTTGCATGAGAAGCCTGGAGCTTCCAGGGAATAAAGTCACCTGGGCCTTGAGACACACACTTTTGGATGGGGGTGATGGCTCGGCGCTGGGGGCGGGTGGGGGAGGTCATTTTAAATTTATCTGGGGGCGCCTGGGGGGCTCAGTCGGTTAAGCATCAGACTTTGGCTCAGGTCATGATCTCACGGTTCGTGGGTTCGAGCTCCTCATCGGGCTCTATGCTGACAGCTCGGAGCCTGCAGCCTGCTTCCGATTCTGTGTCTCCCTCTCTCTCTGCCCCTCCCCTGCTTGCTCTCTGTCGCTCGCTCTCAAATATAAAATAAACATTAAAAATTAAGAAAAAATGTATCTGGTTGGTTAGCTGTATTTACCTTGTCTGGCAGAGTTTCGTGAGGCATATGGGGCCAGGGGGGTTCTGGGGGGCCCCCAGGGGGAAAGAAGCAAGAGGAAGAAGGTTGCAGGTCTGGTCGGAATCCCAGGTCCATAACCTGTGGCCTCCATTTTCTCATCTCTAAAATGGGGGTAATAGAGAGCCTTGGGTTGTTGTAAGGATTCAACGAGAAGAAACCTGAAAAGCAGCCCACACAGTGACTGACGTGGGAGTCTCAATACATGACAAACCAGCCAATAAATAATCAGTGCAACCAGGGATGTTGTTCTGATTACCGCATGGCCCGAGGGCCACTTGTTGGGCCGGTCAGCTGGACTGCTAAGGTCCTAGGAGGCCAAGCAAAGAGGGAAAGTGGACCAAAGGGTTTCGCGAGGTATACGATAATCAGTTTTGGTGTGTCTGAATTCACGCAGTGAAAGAGATCACATTCCGTGAGTAGGTTAAGCATCTCCGTTGCGATCCTGAGTGTAGCTTAAGGAAGATGTGGTTTTTTTTTTTTTCTAGAATGTTCGAAGGCCAGCGTCAGCTGAGCCCATGTCCCACTTAGGCCAACTCCACACTGCTGCTGCCTGAATTCGTGAGGGTCCTGCCTGCCCATCTCCCTGATGGATCAGTTCTGCCGGCGCCGGGGACTGTATGAGCAGATTCTCCGTGGCTTGGGTTTGCTGCTGTGTCTCCCCTGCGTTGAACCCCAGAAACCACTTCCTTCTGTTATTGATGGTCTCCACGAGGCCCAGAGGTGGCTCTGTTAAAATATCGTCTCCTCCAGGGACACTCCGGGACCAGAGTGCTTGAGGCACGCGTCAGGTAGGATGGGGGGATCAGGACGGTTCTCCGCGCTCGTGTAAGGGAAGGAAGAAATCAAGGAAGTGATAGAACAGACATTGTGGCCTTCCTCTGTGTGGCCCGGTGGGGCCACGTCTGCTGCTGGGAGGGGCCGGCTTGCTTCCCGAGCCCGCTGTTCCCCAGGGGGAGGAAGGTGCCACTCCCCCAGACTCTGAAGGACAAAGATGGACAGCTGGCTCTAAGGGGCGCCTGGGTGGCTCAGTCGGTTGGGCGTCCGACTTCGGCTCAGGTCACGATCTCGCGGTCCGTGAGTTCGAGCCCCGCGTCGGGCTCTGTGCTGACCACTCAGAGCCTGGAGCCTGCTTCCGATTCTGTGTCTCCCTCTCTCTCTGACCTTACCCCCATTCATGCTCTGTCTCTCTCTGTCTCTAAAATGAATAAACGTTAAAAAAAAAAATTTAAAAAGACATAGAAATAGAGACGGGCGTCTGGGTGGCTGGCTCATTCGGTTACGTGTCTGACGTCGGCTCATGTCGTGATCTCATAGTTCCATGAGTTTGAGCCCTGCGTGCTTGGGATTCTCTCTCTCCCTCTCTCTCTCTCTCTGCCTCTTTCCCCCTCACACTTTCTCTCTTTCAAACAAACAAACAAAAAAAAACATAAAAAAAAAAGGGAAGGAGGGAGGGAGGGAGGGAGGGTGGAAGGAGCAAGCAATGACATTTGCTACCTGCCATGGTGCGAATCCCCCCACCAAGGCCGGGAGGCACCCACTCTCTCTAGAGCCGTGTGAGACGCCCCCGGCACACGGCCACTCAGAGCCCATCCTCGGATTGATGAAACCCAAAGAAGACCCCCAAGGCTACGCAGGGGCAGGGGCGGAGCGGGGCCGGGACCCAGGCTTCCAACGCCCCCAGCCAAAGGCTGGCTCCGTGATGCCATGCCGGCGGCACTCTCCGGAACGTCCACGGCGCCCGGTGACTCGGCCTGAGACCCCCAGAGAGAGGATCGAGGCCGGTGGGCCTGGCCCGAGTCAGCCCAGCCCACCGCGGGCCGTCAGCCATCAGCCCTGGGGACCGGAGGTGCAGCTTTCTCAGCTACACAAGCCGGGCCATGACAGATGGCATGTGGTGACGAGGCCCAGGACCCAGCAGCGGGCATTTCTGGCTGTGAGTCACTCCCTCCCAGCTGCATTCTACAACGTCACCATGTCTGGCCCCTTGAGTGAGTGGACGCGTGTGTTTTAAATTCATCCCTCTGGGGACTCCCTTTTTCCTTATACATGTACATTTTCTTCTCACGAAGTGTGTGACCAGACCTTGGTTTGCGTCTTGTCTGTGCTCTGGTTTGCTGTGTGACCATGTCGGCCACCTGGCCCCTCCGGGCCCGGGTTTCATCATCTATCCTGTCTGAGCTTGGCCTACCGGAACGAATACCACAGACCGGGCGGCTTAGACAACAGACAATTTTTTTTTTTTTTCTCACAGTTTTCTGGAGACTGGGAAGTGCAGATTTGGCTCTCTCCGTGAGAGCCACTTACGGTCTCGCAGGCAGCCACCGTCTGGCTGTGTCTTCACGTACCGGGGAAAGCGCTCGGGTTTCTCTCCCCCTTCTTATAAGGACACTGATCTCACTGCGGGGGCCCCACCCTCACGAGCTCAGCCATAACCTCATCACGTCTCGGGCCCCGCCTCCTAACACCGTCGCATTGGGGTTTGGGGCTTCGGTGTATGAATTTTGGAGGGACGCATTCAGTCCATGACGTACCCTAACGGCCCTTCTAAGAGCTGCTTTGTGGGGGCGCCTGGGTGACTCAGTCCGTTAGGTGTCCGACTTCGGCTCAGGTCATGATCTCACAGTTTGTAAGTTCGAGCCCCGCGTCGGGCTCTATGCTGACAGCTCGGCTCCTGGAGCCTGCTTCTGAATCTGTGTGTGTGTGTGTGTGTGTGTGTGTGTGTGTGTGTGTGTCTCTCTCTCTCTCTCTCTCTCTCTCTCTCAAAACAATAAACATTAAAAGCTTCTTTGTAGACTGGGTTTGGTATGAGGTGTAGGTCCCCCCATGGAACACCATGGGGGTGGTGTGGCCCCCGACAGCTGGCTAAGTCTACATGTGTCTGGGCAACGGACCAAGTGAGGTGCTAAGCTAAGGACACCCTCCCAGGGAGGGTCCACTGAAGCCTCCACCTAAGGAGTAGTCATGGAAGGCTTCCCGCAGGAGGTGATGCCAGGGTGGGCCCTAAAGGATGAGACTGGAAAGACATCTTTCTTGGCGGGAGGATCGGCCTCTGCAAAGGCTGGCCTCAGAGGAACCGAGGTGGAGCAGAGTCAGGAAGTCTGAGACTGGCCCAGTCGCTACACCTCGGGGGTTAGTCTCAGGCAGGGAAAGAGGGGCTCGTCACAGCGAGGGTCTGGGGCACCCTGGAGCGTGGCGACCCTGGCTATCATTGGCCCCTGTGTGACCTTGGGCTCTCTGGGCCCCGGCTGCCTTGATGTCTGTAAAGCACACAGAATTGTTGGGAGAATACGGTAGAGAAGCCGCTTTCACGGTCCCTGGCATGGCGTGGGGTCCATACGTGTTGTTAGCGCCCTGTCTCTTCCTCGCATGAATCGAGTTAACAAGCATTTACTGAGCACTTACTGTGTTCCCCCTTCCTGTGCCAGGCCGCTCTGATTGAACAGGATTTCCCTGTCCCAGGAGCCTACAGGGCTGGTGACAGGGGTGGGGTAGACCCACAGGACAGGCACAGAGGCCAGAAGTCTGGTGAATGCGGGTGTCCTAAGGCCTCCTCGTGTCTCTCTCCATTCTGGAAGTGGGGGTTGGGCCAAATGTGCCAAGGGGGAGAACGCGGCCTTCCTTTTCTGGGGGCGCAGGGGTGGGGTGCCGGCTGCTGTTCATTAGATGCTCTGGGCTGCAGCCTGTGCTGTGGTGAGGGTGCCAGGGGCATGAACACTGGGCAACTGACCGGGCAAAGGCCGAGCTCAGGGGATCCCGGGGAGATATGAAGGGCAAACTGAATGGTAGGGGGAGGGTATCATTGCGTTTCCTATCTATTCACCTCTGCACTGTGCCCCAGGAGCAGAGGCTCCTTGTGGAGTCTGTGCCCCGGAGGACCAAAGGAGCTGCCCAGGGGGGAAGCGGGGCCACGGGTGGGGGTGGTGGAGGGGGCCCCGACGGGGTATGTCCTGAGCCCCAGCCTGAGCCTGGGGCCGGCAGGGAGCGTGGGTCGGGGTCTGGGGGGCCACGGGGACCGGGGTGTGAGCAGCCGCGTGAGAGGGGGGCGCCTAGACTCTCCGCCCCTTACTCTGCCGACCAGCCCGTCCATCCCGATCCTCGTTAGCGCGGCGCCACCTAGCGGCGCTCGGGGGAAACGGCGGCGCGACCTCGTCCGTGCCCACGGGCTGGGTCCCCGAGTTCCCGGGCAATCAGGCCCAGAGGAGCAGGCGGTGACACCCGACGCCTAAAGGGCTGAAGGAGTGGGGGCAGAGCCTGGAGAGAAGCAGCCGGGCACACCAGGCTTTGACCTTGACCCTAGTCTCTGTTTGCCCCCTCCTCAGCCTCAGCATCAGCGAGTACAAAGAGGAGGTGGGAGAAGGAGCAAGTCCAGAAGGGCAGGCAGGAAGAAACGTGCAGGTGTCCATGGTCCAGGAGCCCAGGACCGAGTGGGAACCCATCACTACGGAACCTCAGTGGGAGGCGAGGCCATGCACACCTGCTTTCCGACCTTGGGGGCGTTCGTGTGGTGGTGGGGTCTGTGTTTCTGTGTGTGCGCCTGTGCGAGTGTATGAATGCACATCTGCATGAGTGTATCTGTGCCGGTGTGCGATTGGATGTCTCTGTGTGTCTGTGTGAGTGTGTGTGAGCGAAACACTGGGCAGAGCCGTCCCTTTGGCTGTGCGTTTGGGGACAGCCTGTCCTCTGTGCCCCGCACCCCTTCCTGGGCCAGTTCATGCCCTCCCGTGTCCCCGGGGGGACGTGCGTGGAAACCTCTCCCAGGTGGGGCCCCTTCTGTCCCCACGCCAGCCCCACGCCTCAGCCCCAGCCCCAGCCTACAGGCCCAGTGTCAGCCGCTGAGGGAAATTGCTCCTTAAAGCTGGACGTGGAGGCCACCCAGCTTTACAGCTTCAGCCCGAGAGCCCTGTGCAAGGACATTCAGGTGGAAAATATGAGGACGTCCAGCAGCCCTTTGGTGTGTGCTTTAAAAAGCCAGGTGTTGGGGCGCCTGGGTGGCTCAGTCGATTAGGCTGCTGATTCTTGGTTTCGGCTCAGGTCCTGATCTCACGGTTCGTGGGTTCGAGCCCCATGTCTGGCTCTGTGCTGGCAGCATGGAGCCTGCTCGGGATTCTCAATCTCTCTCTCTCTCTCTCTCTCTGTCCCTCCCCCACTCACTCTCTGTCTCTCTCAAATAAATAAACAAACTTAAGAAAAATAGAAATGATTTTAAAAGTCAGGTGCGCGAGGACAAGGATGTTTCTTCTGCCCGGAAGAGACCAGAACCTGATGCTCTAAACCCCGAATGAGGAGGTTTGGAGGAGACTCCCGCTCAGTGAGGACTCTCAGACCAAGGCAGTTACTGTGCCTGTTTGTTTTCTGGCCACTCTCGGAGTCTCTGTCTCCTGGAGAGGAACAGGCTGTGTCAGAGCAAGGAACAGTAATGCTCGAGGAAATCGGAGGGTGACGGCCACAAATCTGACCGACATTGTTTGTCCTTTGGTAATGCCCTTCCCAGGAGTGATCAGGCCCCAGATGTCCATGGTGGAGGGGGAGGGGGCTCCCCCTGGCCGAGGGCCATTAGCTCAGCCCCCAGTGTGGGTATCTCCTTACAGAAGCAGGGGCCGAACCTCAGGGAAGTTATAAAACCTCCTTGCCCAAGGTCCCTCTGCTTCTAAGTGACACAGGGAGGATTTGAACCAGCTGTGTCGATGCCCACAGGCAGGAGCACCGACAGATATCGAGGGCATGGTCGGGCATGGTGGGGCCGGGTGTGCCTCAGGGTGGGCACAGCTGCCCGGATCCCTGGCTGCTGTTCCGTGACTGTGGTGTCACAGGTGACTTTGTGTGGTGCTCGAGCCTTTGGCTCTGAATTCCGGGCGGGAGTCTGGGAGTGCGGTCTTGCCTCTCTGAGCACTGTCTGCCCGCCCGCCACATCGTGTTGGGCCCACAGGGAGGGGTTTTCTTGGAGCTTATCCGGGGACAGGCATCTCTGTCCTTGGCTCTGATAACGGCTCCTAGTTTCCCCCAGGAGGCAAGAGGCTCTCCCGGGAAACCAGCAAACGTGTTTTCCACCCGTCCTGCTTCCCA